ATGATAGATAGATAGATCAGATAAATGATAGATAGATAGATAGATAGATAGATAGATAGATAGATAGATAGATGGAAAGACATGATAGATAGATGGATGGATGGATAGATGGATGGATGGAGAGAGAGAGAGAGAAATCAAACAAACACATCATCCCTTACATTTCTCAATCTCCATGATTTCGCTGGGGTAGGCCTCAATCTCTACCTTCCCGTCAGCTTCGTTTTTGTCAAGCCATCGGTTGCATGGGAAGTTGTACATCTTGCCGTGGACAGGGATGATAATCTGAACGCTACCAAGGTGCCAGCCTGCCTGGAGGCCCACATTGTCATGCCCGATTAGAATCCGATGGATCTTAAGCCAAGAAAGCAGAGGAAAGGAAGGCAGGAAAGAAGAATAGTATGTATATCTTTTTTAAAAGATCACCGCTGCGGTGATACATAAAGGGCATTGGGTTGGTAAAAACAAGCAGCTGTATCGACTTTCATCACTGCATCAACATTTCATACTAGTCCTGGGCTAAATAGGAGAATATTTGTAGTTCAAGGTTGAAATGAGGGGTCCTCTCTGAGCTTGGTAGTTTTTTTTACAGACGTTTCATTACCCAACTAAATTACATCATCAGTGCTAGTAGGGAAATGCCTACACTACCTAGTTGGAGTTCTCCTAGTCCAACCCCCTATTCAAAGGGCTGTCCAATCTCTTCTTAAAAACCTCCAGTGATGGAACATCCATAACTTTTGAAGGCAAGCTGTTCCACTAATTAAATGTTCTAACTCTGAGGAAATTTCTCCTTAGGTCTAGGTTGCTTCTTTCCTTGACTAGTTTCCATCCATTGCTTTTTGTCCTGCCTTGTGGTGCTTTGGAAAATAGGTTGAACCCTCTTCTTTGTGGCAGCCCCTCAGATACTGGATGACTGCTATCATGTCACTCCTAATCCTTCCTTTCATTAAACTAGACATATCCAGTTCCTGCAATCGTTCTTTGTATGTTTTAGCCTCCAGTCCCCTAATCATCTTTGTTGCTCTTCTCTGCACTCTTTCTAGAGCAGTGTTGGCGAACCTTTTCGGCATCGAGTACTGAAACGGGAGCACGTGTGCACGGGGGAGTGCCAGAAACCGGAAGAGCAGCTCCCTGGGGTGCACAGGAGGGAACGTGGGAAACCGGAACAGCAGCTCCCTGGGGCACACAGGAGGGAACGCAGGAAACCGGAACAGCAGCTTCCCTGGGCGCACAGGAGGGAGCGTGGGAAACTGAAGAGCAACTCCCTGGGGCACACAGGACGGAGCGTGGGAAACTGGAAGAGCAGCTCCCTGGGTGCACAGGAGGGAGCGTGGGAAACCGGAAGAGCTCTCCCTGGGCACACAGGAGGGAACGCAGGAAACCGGAACAGCAGCTCCCTGGGGCACACAGCAGGGAACGTGGGAAACCGGAAGACCAGCTCCCTGGGGCACACAGGAGGGAACGCGGGAAACCAGAACAGCAGCTCCCTGGGGCGCACAGGAGGGAGCATGGGAAACCAGAAGAGCAGGTCCCCGCCACGCATGCACACACTGGGAAACTGAGCTTCCAGTTTCCAGTGCGCGCATGCGTACCGGTCATCTGGTTTCTAACATGCACGTGTGCACGAAGACCAGCTGGCCAGCGTGCATGTTCCCGCCGGAACCAAGAAGAGCAACGGGCGACGGCTGGCGTGCCCAGAGAAATGGCTCTGTGTGCCACTTCCGGCACACATGCCATAGGTAGGTTGGCCCTCACGGTTCTAGAAACTCAATGTCTTTTTTATATTGTTGTGACCAAAACTGGATGCAGTATTTCAAGTGTGGTCTTACCAAGGCATTATAAAGTGGTACTATCACTTCACGCGATCTTGATTCTAAAGGTAAAGGTTCCCCTCGCACACATGTGCTAGTCGTTCCTGACTCTAGGGGGCGGTGCTCATCTCCGTTTCAAAGCCAAAGAGCCAGCGCTGTCCGAAGACGTCTCCGTGGTCATGTGGCCAGCATGACTAAATGCCAAAGGCGCACGGAACGCTGTTACCTTCCCACCAAAGGCGGTCCCTATTTTTCTACTTGCATTTTTTTACATGCTTTCGAACTGCTAGGTTGGCAGAAGCTGGGACAAGTCACGGGAGCTCACTATTCAAGTGACTGTTTCCTCCAATCCAAGATCCCTCTAGCAGTTACTACTATTGAGCCAGGTACTACCTATTCTATACCTGTGCATTTGGTTTTTCTAAATTTAGAAACATACTTTTCAATTAATTTCACTGAATTTCATTCATTCATCTTCCTATTGAACCAGGTACCATACCACCTACTCTATATCTGTGCAGTTGTTTTTTTCCAAAACACTGTGACAGTGGAAAAAACATTTTTAGTAAAACAAATCCGCAGTCAGTTCTTACTCTGCATCAGTGGTGGGTTCCTCCCGGTTCGGTCTGGTTCAGCCGAGCCGGTAGCGGTGACGATATGACATCACCAAACCGGTTCTCCCCACCCACCCTCCCACCCACCCACCCACGTTATTCTTACCTTTTATTTGGCCCCACCCCCAATCTATTGCTGCCTCCTGAGTCCCAGCTGATGACTAGAGGGAAAAAAACTGTTTAAACTCTTGCCGCGGGGCTTCAAAGGGCCGCCCTACAGCTGATCAGGGTTAAAAGCAAACAAATGAGTCGGGTCGTAAGTGCGAGGACTGGTCGTAAGTGCGAGGACCTTCCAGAAATGACTCTGACCAGCTAGCCACGCCCACCTAGTCACATGACCTCCAAGCCACACCCGCAAAATAAGCCACGCCCACAGAACCGGTAGTAAAACAATTTAGAACCCACCCCTGCTCTGCATCGTAATTTCAGATCGGTCTTACCTTCCCAATGTCCATCGTATCCAGAGTAAAGACATCTATCCGGCTACGTTCAAAGTAATTTCCTAAATCGTTATCAGAAACCAGCAGAAGTTCCTTTTTGGTGTCTGCTTTCTCACCATACAGCTTGATCAAAACCTTCGAATCTGAGCTGGCTCCGGGAACATCTCCTGTCTTAATACTGATGTGATAACTGATATCTGTAAATATATTAACATTTGTACCCGAGAGACACGATCATATCCTGCAAAAGTGTGAGCTTTTTTTCTTCCAGGGAAGATCAAAGCGGGGGGGGGGGGGGGGGGGGAAAGGAATTTGGGGGGGGGGGAAATGCAAGAAATCATAAATTTTAGAATAACAGAATTGGGAGGGATCTTGGAGGTCTTCTCATCCAACATCTTGCTCAAGCAGGAGACCCTAAACCACTTCAGACAAATGACTGTGCAGTCTCTTAAAAGCCTCCAGTGATGGAGCACCCACAATTTCTGAAGGCAAGTCATTCCATTGATTAATTAATTTAATGACCCTTGGTAGTACAGTGGTCTAAAGCACCCTGTTATTAAGACCAGCTGCCTGCAATTACTGCAGGTTCGAATCTCGCCAGGCTCAAGGTTGACTCAGCCTTCCATCCTTTCTAAGGTAGGTAAATTGAGGACCCAGTTTGTGGGGGCAATAAGCTGACTTTGTATAAACATACAAAAGGATGAAGGCTATTGCTTAATGCATTGTAAGCCGCCCTGAGTCTCCGGAGAAGGGAGGCATATAAATCAATTTTTTTTAAAAAAATGTCTTCACTGTCCGGAACTTTCTCCTTAGTTCTAGGTTGCTTCTCTCCTTGATTAGTTTTCACCCATTGCTTCTTGTCCTGCCTTCAGGTGCTTTGGAGAATCGCTTGACTCCCTCTTCTTTGTGGCAGCCCCTGAGATATCGGAAGACTGGTATCATGTCTCCCTGTAGTTCTTCTCTTCGTTAAACAAAGATGTTTAGGGGACTGGAGGCTGAAACATATGAAAAACGGTTGCAGGAACTGGGTATGTCTAGTTTAATGGACAGAAGGACCAGGGATGACATGATAGCAGTCTTCTAATATCTCAGGGGCTGCCCCAAAGAAGAGGGAGTCAAGCTATTCTCCAAAGCACCTGAAGGCAGGACAAGAAGCAACGGATGGAAACTAATCAAGGAGAGAAGCAACCTAGAACTAAGGAGAAATTTCCTGACAGTTAGAACAATTAACCAGTGGAACAACTTGCCTCCAGAAGTTGTGAATGCTCCAACACTGGAAGTTTTTAAGAAGATGTTGGATAACCATTTGTTTGAAATGGTAGAGGATTTCCTGCCTGAGCAGGGGGTTGGACTAGAAGACCTCCAAGGTCCCTTCCAACTCTATTACTCTATATTCTATTCTATTCTATTCTATTCTATTCTATTCTATTCTATTCTATTCTATTCTTATTCCAGACATACCCCGTTCATACTAACTAAGCTTGTTTGAATACAGCCTCTAATTTTTTTTAAAGTCAACTGATTAAGCATGTTCGACGATATAGTCAGTATATAATATGATGATAGTAATTATGTGAACTCTACACATACATAAGAAAAAATCATAAACCTCTGAACAAATTTTATCACGCATAAAAAAACTGAGCAGTGGTGAACTCAACAGGAGAGAAAGTCCTTTTTTGCAGCTGTTAGGGGATGTCATTCAGCAAATAGAAATGATAAAAAAAAATATGTTTCCCGAGAACTAAAACAAAACGACAAGCTTGGCCCATAGAGTCACGTGATAACAAAGCAAACTCACTTTCCAGCATAGACGATCTCCCATCTGGAACCAACTCTCGAACGATCTGGCCATCGTCCTCATTTTTGTCAAGCCATCTGGTTAGCAAATAAAATGTAAGTTATCTGCTATTACTGATCAAATATCAGGAGGCTTATTGTAATTCTGGGAGGGGCGGTGTGTAGTGAAGGAAAAGCAGCGTGTTTAGAGTGATTTTTTTTTAAAAGAAAAAAAAATCAGAATTTAGAATAAAGAAACAGATTATTGGCATACTTGTAAAGGAAGTATCACACGTTACAAAATTCAGCCCCACAGCCTTTGAATTCCACTTTCTAATCAGCATGTAGATTTGCTAAAAGCGAGAGAGAGAGAAAAGCATTGATTTGTAGCCAGTTAATACCATAATGATTTCAACTCATTAAAAAATCTTCTGGTATGGAAGGTTGAGAAGTAACTTAAAAGTTCTAAAATATGTGTAACCAGTGGCGAGATTCAGCCGGTTCAGGCCGGTTCAGGCAAACTGGTTGTTAAATTGCTGACTGGCCCTGCTCCGCCCCTTCCAGGAGTCCCCACGTGCCCCATTGTGGCTCCCAGGTAAATGCAGGGAGGCCTACTAGATCCAAAATGGAGTGCGGGGGTGCGCCCCGCTCCTCCATGGCATGTTTTTGCTCCCAGGAGGCTGCAGGGAGGCCTACTAGGCCCAAAACAGGGCGCGTGGGGGTGGCCCGTTTTTACTCCCAGGGGGATGCAGGAAGCCGAGTGCTGCCTATCTCACTCCCTGGCCACGCCCACCATGGCCACGCCTACCCAGACGGACCTTAGGGCAGAGAACCGGTTGTTACATTATTTTAATCCCCCACAGTGCGTAACACCATTTGATCTAACTCCTACCATCTTGTATTCCAGATACTCTTTTTTAATACACCAAGTTAATTTTATACGAAGTTTAAAACCTGTTGTTTCGCTCCCACGTCCATTTGTTTCATTTCTAGGTTTTATAAACAAGAAATCAAGGCGAAGAGTTCTTCAAGTCAAGTTCAATCCTGTCGATTTTCATAGACAACAATCTAGATGGTCATATCATTTTTTATTTTATTTTTTTTTGGCATGGGAATGCAAATTATCTGTCATTGCCTTCTACTCCTATGGACAGGGAGATGATAAAACTCGTAGCTTTTCTATAGTCCAGTCTTCAACCTTGTGAGTTCTTGGTGCTCTCCCAGATCAGACTCTGCTCAGCCTTTTTTCCAGATCAGCCACAGAATCATCGTCAATGAAGGTTACCTTAATGGTGGATTGCAAATATAAGCATACAGTGATGTCTGAGGAAGGAGATTAAAAGTGGGTCATCAACCAAACAGAAACGGGTTCTGTTTAAATCTTATGTACACTACTTAAAAGAAATAAGACAGCTATTGTGACTGCTCTAGATAAACAATGAGCAATCATTAGTAATTTATTCTGATGCGTGGCTTTGAATTTAGTGCAGATACAATTTTGCTGGATAGTGTCAGTCATTTTAAATGGTTTTGGAAGTGTGTGTTTTTAAAAAAATTGATATTTGTTGTTTATGTAAAATGGCTCACGGAAGACTTCCAATGAAGGTTTTTGTTGTTGTTGTTGTTGTTGTTATTTTTCTTAGCGAAGACAGATCTATTTGAAGGGGGAACTAGTTCACCGAAAAACACTTTTAAAGACTAAGTTGACACTCAACTTATACAGGTGTCCTTAGTTACCTACAGCATTTTGGGAGTAGAAAAGAAATCTTATATCTCAACTGATTTTTACAGTTAACCGCCTACCTACAACAAGGAAGTAAGATTTACAAAAGATTTCAGAATATTTGAACTGTGTTTTAGTTTCTTGCAATTCAAAAGAGACCTAAAATTTAGTTGGTGTCTTTTGTTTTACATAACAGATGTTCCAGTGCAATAGTATCTTGTGTACTTATATTGTGTATACTCATCTGAAAATTCTCTTAAGATCTAAGATGGTTTCCCGATAATCAAATTATAGTGGCTTCACATGAACAGAATTAGAAAATCTATTTATATAAGGCACCACACAGAGCAAACAAAGAGTACAATCACCATGTGCTTTACTGCTCAACTATTTAACTGGAAATCTCTCCTCAGAACATTAAAAAACATAGATTATATCTATCGATTCACACTAAATACTGCCATTTACTGGCTAAATAATTCTGTAGTTGTTGCAATACAAAATACATTCTAACATGTATTCCAACACAAAGAGAGATAAATGTGGACTAGGAAATGCATCCATATTAAACTCATCCACTTGCTACACCTATAAAGTGTTAAAAGATGCAAAGGAAAGAGGAGAATTCAGTTTTCTGGATTAAAAATTGTATTTTGCAGGTTTTTCTTTGGATGAAAGACTGGGAAGCTGCGAAATAAAAGACTTTTAAAACTAGATGAGCATGGATCAATGTTTGGATGGTATGTTTATGGTACAATAAAATTAAAGTGGATTTTAAAAACTATTTTATTAGATGTGCCATATTGAGAATGTAAATAGCTATAAACCCAGGCTGGGGCTGAAAAACTTTTATAGATCTCAGCAGAAGAAGCATTTTACAGAAGATAAAAACGGGCAAAGACGAATGGTTAATGCACTAGGAATTATTGGAAAATCACTAGTGGAATATAAAATTAAATCAAAAGAATAACTAGTGGCAGAAGGATATAATTCTCAATGGGAAAACCTATTAAGTACTTAAAATGAACACAAACATATGGTATGAAGCAAAGAAAGAATTTGAACTGCAATTGTGTACAGATGATGAACATGTAATTGCTAAAATTTATGAATTTTTGTTGAAATTTGAAATGGAAGAATGGGTTAAAGAGCGTATGATAAAGTGGGCTGGGAATTGTGATTATAATATACAGATGGATCAGTAGGAAAATATGTGGTCGAAAGGGTTAAAATTTATACTATGTGATGTTCTTACCTTTTTTATTTTTAGTGTTGTATCATTGTACACAGGACATGGGGGCTCAGTGGTTAAAGACACTGAGCTTGTCAGCTGGAAAGGTTCGAGATCAGAGGTGGTATTCAGCTGGTTCGGACTGGTTTGGGCGAACCGGTAGTAGCAACCTGCAGGTAGCGCAATTCCGTCCTATATTGCTGTGGTTTTGAAGCTGCATGTATGTGCAGACAGTGCACGTGTGCGAATTGCCATGTTGTTTGACATTGCACGCATGCATGGACGGCACGCATGAGAGCAAAGCGAGCACACCTGTGTACATGCTCACATTTCCAGTGCCGGGCGAACCAGTGGTGACAGAATGTTCGAGACCGAAGTGTCACATGATGGGGTGAGCTCCCATCCATTGCCCCAGCTCCTGCCCACCTAGCAGTTCAAAAGCACGAAAGATGCAAGTAGACTTAGGTGGGAAAGTAACAGAGTTCCATGCACTTTGGTATATAGTCATGCTGGTCACATGACCACAGCTTTTCGGACAAAGCTGGCTCCCTCAGCGAAGAAATGGAAATGAGCAGCACCCCTTAGAGTAAGACATGATTGGACATGGGAAGCCTTTACTTTTATCATTCTACATGACCCCAGAAAAATTATCTACAATGTATAGAAGCATGATACACATTGATACAGAAGATTTTAAAGATTAATATTCAGTGGATACCAGAACCTTTCCTTTTAGGACTGATGGATACACAGTTAAAAAAAAAAGGCTTGGAAGATTATTTCAATATATGATTACCGCAGTGAATCTATTATATACACAACGATAGAAAGATTCAGCTACACGCCATGGAAGAATGGCTGGTGAAATTTGTAGAATTTGTAGAGATTGCCAATCTGACTTCTTTGATTAGAGAAAGATCATGACTGACATTTGTCAGTGATTGGAAACCTCTTATGGATCTTTTGCATGAAAAAGAAAATGAGTTTGTGACTTATGATTTTAAAAAGTAGAAAGAGTAGGTTATTGAAAGAAGGGAATTACAAAGTAATCTTAAGAGAAATTTGGTTATAATTTTATACATATCTACTGAAAGGAAGATTGGAAGCCATTTCTTTATATTTCTTTTTATGTTTTCTCTGATTTTATTTTTCTTTTTTATCTCCCTTTTCTTTTTCCTTTCTCCTTTTTCCCTCTTTCAACTTACTATATTTTAATATACTTATTATACATATAAAATCATTTATTAAATGATAATATGATTTATATTGATATTGTTTCCTGATTGCTTATTTGTACCCTATGACTATCATTAAGTGTTGTACCTTATGATTCTTGACGAACGTATCTTTTCTTTTATGTACACTGAGAGCATATGCACCAAGACAAATTCCTTGTGTGTCCAATCACTCTTGGCCAATAAAGAATTCTATTCTATTCTAAAACAATTTCAAAAATTAAAGAAGGAAGTTGAAAGAGGATGTCTAACCTTGAAAATTTTAAAACCTGTGGACTTCAACTCCCAAAATTCCCCAGTCCACCATGCTAACTTGGGAATTTTGGGAGTTGAAGTCCAAAGTCTTAAAGTTGCCATAGTTGCACACCCATAATGTAGACCACAGTACTTGAAGATTAATTCTATACTATTTAAACAACAACAGATGAGGGCAATTAACATGATCGTTTAAGCAACGACATTTTTTGTCTCCCACTGAAATGTAATACCGATGTGCAAACTAGCATTAAAAAAAATCATGGCAGAAGGATCATATTTTCCCAGCCTCTTTAGATCATCCACTAATTAAGGATGATCATTCTTGGCTATGTCAAGTGATAGATCTTATGTCAAAAATGAAAATGAATCTTCTGCATTGTAGAAGCAAAACCAATAATAAGCATAGACGATTCAAATAGATAAAATAGAATATCAGAGTTAGAAGGGATCTTGGAGGCCTTCTAGTCCAACCCCCTGCTCAATCAGGAGACCATTTCAGGCAAGTGGCTTTCCAGTCTTTTCTTAAAAAACCTTCAGTGATGAAGCACCCACAACTTCTGGAGACCAGCTGTTCCACTGGTTAATTGTCCTCACTGTTAGGAAGTTTCTCCTTAGTTCCAGGTAGTTTCTCTCCTTGATTAGTTTCCATCCATTGCTTCTTGTGTTGTCTTCTGGTGCTTTGGAGAATAGGTTGACCCCCTCTTCTTTGTGGCAGCCCCTCAAATAATGGAACACTTCTGTCATGTCACCCCCAGTCCTTCTTTTCTCTAGATTAGCCATACCCAATTCCTGCAACCGTTCTTCATATGTTTTAGTCTCCAGGCCCTTAATCATCTTTCTTGTTCTTCTCTGCACTTTTTTTCCAAAGTCTCAACATTTTGTTTGTAACTTGAAGAACTGTTGTAA